CTTCAACATCTTGTGAAACAGTTCAGAGGAATAGGACTGAGTATGAATACAGGGGAAAGAAAGTATTGAACAAAAAATATCTATAACAATAAGTTATTTCTTATCTTTTAAAAATAGATATGTAAGAAGCTCTTCTTGTTCGTATACAGTATCAGAAATGGTACTTACAAGAACTTGAGGAGGCATTTCCTTCAAAATGGAATAAAACCTAGGTAAAAATAATAAGAATAATCCAAAGGAGAGTAATTAAAATTTTTATTGAAGGGTTCATGGGAACACTGGTCGCATTCCTTGTCATGCTGTTTCTGTGGAAGGCATTAAAGATGTGGTAGCATTTTTGGAGAACTATGCTGAAGACTTCACCAAATTACTACCTGGGAGGATACCTGGAGTGAGGGATTATGGGAAGGCCAAGCTATTGCCGTCCAGTGTGTCCCGACACAAGGTTTACCGGCAGTATGCTGATGCTGGTAGGGAACATACTCTCTGTGAAAGTAATTTACAGGCGATATTGAAGAAATTTTAGTTAGTTGTATACCAACACTTGATCCTTTTATTGACATTTCTGATGGTGGGGCATATGCTTGTTCATATCAATTTATTACTATTTTAACGTTATCATTTTGTTTAGCATTTCTCCAACACAAAAAGTTAAAGTGTATATGCTGATAAGGACTTTAGTGTATAGATTGCTTCTTCTGTTATTGTTATCATTATTTCTTGATTTATTTGTTCATTAATTTTTTATAAATGTGTTACTGGCACAAGATTAAAGGTGGATCTGTATTTTAAGTGTGAAAACTGCTTATGGTATTTGTTCATTGATTATTGTTTTATTAGAATTAATTTGTTTAAAGGTCCTACTTGTGCAAATAGAGTATCGAAGAGTAAAAGTAAAAGCGCATTCTCTATCTCAGGATTTAAATAAAGAAGTTGCCTTTTCTGTTAATGATATAATGGATGAACACGTTTTAACATAATCAATTTAATTTTTTGAATGCACTTGTACAACTAGAGTTACAACTGGTACAAGTCAAATTATCATCTGTTTCTCTCTCTTTTAGTACAGTGAACATCTCATAATCAAGAAACAGTTTGTTCCATGGACATTGCCGTATTCTTTAAAAGATTGTGTTAATGGTTGCTGAGTAAGTATTTTCACATGCCCATGTCTCTGACTGTAAAATGTATTTTGTCATTATGTCTCAAATAAACGCTTGATTTTAGATTCATTAAGGCATCAGATTCAATGAAGGACCATTAATAATATAGCATTGATATTGCCTGAGCACAGATGGCAATAAAGTTACCATTGCAATTACTGGCAATCATTACTTTTGTTATTAATAACCAGACATTGCATGATGTATCTACCTTTCATCTACCATGTATTTAAAATTTTTCATATTGTATGTACTTTTGCTAACACCA